CCTCGGGGTCGGTGGGCGACGGCGCCCACTGGACTCTGATCGGGTAGTGGGTGATATCCTGCATGTGGAAGTCGCGCACGCGGAAAACAGGAGAGAGCATGGCACAGCAGAAGGTCGCACCCCGGGCGATAGCTTCATCCTGGTTGAGCGTGGTCGAGAGGACCTTGCCCGGGAAGACCTCCTGGATGCGGGCGCGTACAGACGGAATACGTGTGGAGCCGCCGATAAGCTCAATCGCATCGATTTCGTCAAGGGGCACGCCGGAATCTGCGAGGGCGCGCGTAACAGGTGCGACAATGCGGTCAAGGACACTGGAGACTAGGCCTTCCAGATCGTCCCGCGAGAGTTTGGAAGACGCGTCGACATCACTCATGATCGACTCGACATTTAACGTAGCTTCGGCGTTGGCAGAAAGCACCTTTTTCAGTTTTTCGCATCCGGCGGCGAGGCGGAAGGTCGCCTTTGGATTGGACAGGACATCGATCTTGTATTTCTGTTTGAATTCTTCGGAGAAATGCTTGACGAGAGCGTAGTCAATATCGCGTCCACCCAAGTTCCTGTCGTACGCGGCGCTCTTGACTACGAGCTGGCCCTTGGAGAAGGCGACGACAGCGGCGGACAAACTCGAGTGGCCAACGTCGACGAAAACAACGTGTTTAGCGTTTTCTGGCTCTGGCAACTCAGATTTGGTGATTCCGTAACCGAGGGCGACGGCGGTTGTGTCGTTGATGAGTCGCAGGGTGTTGAGGCCAGCAATCGCGGCAGCATCGAGAAGTGCTCGCCGCTGGATGTCAGTGTACCAGCCGGGCACCGCGATCACAACATCTGTGACGCCATTCTTTAGTTCGTTGGCGGCGATGTCGCGTAGTTTCCCCAGATACATGGCCACGAGCTGGGTCGCGGAAAAAGACTGCTTCTCCCCGATGTAATTTACCTAAGGATGTATGATGCAAAAATTTTCAGGAATAAGAGATCGCGACGAACCTCGACGCCAACAGTTCCTTGGACATCGACAAGAGTTGCGTTGATGAACTTCTTTTCAATCTCCTGGACCTCGGGGTCGCCGAGGGTCCGACCAATTAATCGCTTCAAAGACCCGATAGTATTTCTGAAGTTGGACGTTTCCTGGGTTTTTGCGGACTCGCCAATCGACCGCTGCTTGGGCCCAAAGGCGACCAAGGACCTGTGAGCCGCATTGAGTACCGAAACCAAGGAGAAAAGGAGCAGACGCACGGTGTGGCGCGGTTGGAGACTTCATTGGTGATAATATCGATACCTCGATGTCTTGCAACACCGATCTTTGGTGAAAAGAGATGTTAGGACGTAGATATAGGAAGAAAGTAGGGCGCACCTTGCTGTGCAGGGATCCGAAATCGATACCGACGACAGCCATTCGAGGGAGAGGAAGAGAGTGAGTAGGCGAACACGAGGAAAAAAAATTGATCGCCTAAATAAATAAAGAGTCGATCATCATCCACTGCTTTCCAGAGACTTCCATCGCATTCTCTGGCTTATATCCTCCCTTTCTGGTTCAAATGTTCATAATCACTGTGAATGGGACCGCGCCGGAATATCGACGTATACCTGAAGCACAGGCAGGCGAAGCTCCTGTACATCAAGCTTTCAAGAGTAAAACTGACGCGCAATTTTCCCTCTCAAACAACTCTGCTTCAAGTTTTACAGCCCAGTCATCATTTTACAAGTCGTGTAGGCTTGGCGAGGCATCGTTTTGCGCTCTTTCGCTTCGCTGTCTGGTGTCCTTAATCCTTAACTGCTATGGCCTGGTCACTACTTGAATAGTGACTCGTCAGCTCCCGCGTCAAACAGTTTTCTGCCATTGGCACCACTCTTTCCGCCTACTGACTGTGGCCGTTCCTCCAAAAGTTCGGACAACAGTCTGCCGCTCGTCTGCAGGTGCTCAGTTTCCTCCGAGCCTGTGGATGTCTAGACTTCTATATCGCACACATTTGCTGAGCTTGTTAATAGGCTTTCCAATAAATAAACGACAGTCAAGAAGTCGCACATCCAAGCGCCCTTTTGGTCGTGCTAGCCACTGGGACAGTCGCAGTGTACATAGGTCATGACAATCCTAATTGCGCACAGATTTGGTCTCCGAGCACAGATAAATAACCGGAGAAGTGCTTGGATCATTCCGTATGAAGCTCAAAGGAAAAGAATACAGTTCACACCGAATTTAGGTCTCCGTCCTCTTCGGGGTGTGGTGGCGCTGTCTGTTTGACCTCGAGACAAGTGCTTCATCATGCTTGAAGTTCATCTATCCGCTTCCCTGTCGTCACGCCGGGCCGCACAGTCGTGAAACAAATTTGGGCATCTCCGGATCCGTGTCCAATCCGTGCTCTTGAAGTTATATTCTACGTATGGTATTCAATCTGAAACTACTACTGCAGTACTCAAGTCGAACCTTGCCTGTAACATTGTTGGTCCGCCCGAAAACATTTTAGCATCTATGGTGCGCTCGGCCTAGTCACCACCAATTTGGTCCGATCAATGATGGCATCATTGATCACTCAATTTGGTCCCGGAATTTTTGTCAAATTCATACCACCTCGTTCTGCTCTATCATCAACAGTTACAGGTCAAGAAGATCAGTTCTCGTGCTATTTTAAGTTACATCGACGGATTTGGGAGCGTATGGGGCGAGGTAATGGACCAGGAGCTGGTGACATAAGAGCAATTTGTCATTACACGTGACTGATTGATTGATGGGATCACTGATCTCTCAATTTTGCTGCCGAAAAAACATAAATTTTAATGTAATGGAATATCCCTCTTGAGCAATTGAACTACTATCTAATTGGAGTCTTTTGGCTAGAGGATCCGAGGTAGGAAGGTCTCGATCAGGTGCAATAAATTTCGTTCCTGTTTGGTGGTGACTAGGCCGAGCGCACCATAAGCATGGTCATCGACGAATCCATCAATGTTCTTTGCAACATACAGCGCCCGGCCGGCGGCCATCAACAGCCATCAACGTGTTCCCTGTAAGTCCACATATGGAGGTAAGTGACTAAGTGGAGTGGGATTCTGGTGGGATTCCTGTGGTGGTTTGCGAAAGCCATGGAGAGCCAGGAGTCGGCTCTTAGTGTCGTCGGCCTGCGCGACCTGCAGGTCACCCGCCTTGTAAGCGGTACGTCCTTTCCCTCCCAACTGTTGAACTTCCCGTCCTTATTCGAGAACAGCCGGTGGATTGGTCGTATGTCGATCGAATTTTTCATTTTGTTTTGGCTCAGTCCCACATAGATCCTACTCTATGACCACCTTCTGTCTCTTCCTGATGAGGTCCGCCTTATCTGGCCCGCCAGACTCACGTCGAGCAAGGTTCTTTTCCTCGGAATGCGCTACATTGTACCTTGCATTATGATTGCCCACACTGCTCGTGAGTTATAGCCCTCGGCGCACTTCCCCGATTCCCATCTTTCACACCATACAGAACTCTCAGGACTGGCTAGCATCTTCCTCTCTGACAGAGTACGCTTTCATTTCTCGTCACATTGTCCTGGCACTCACTTTTAACATTTACCTAGTTGTGAGTGCTCTTGATCCTATCGTTTGGAGTCACCCTCATTGCAAGCTTGCACTAGCTGCAAATCATGGTATATCATTTCGGTGTGTTTCTCTTCCCCCAGCCACGGTCATGAGCTGAGGAAATTGCATGACAGATACTTATAGGATGGTTGGCCCTTGGGATCAATGACTGTACCAATGTTCCGTCGACATGATCTCAACCTATCTAACACTTTGACAGGGCTTGTCCTCTTGAGAGTGTGGGTCATCTGGGGTGGGTCCCATGCGCATGTCTTCCGTTCGTCCAACTGATTTCTCGAAGACCGCAATCGTACATTCATCCTCTGCACCCTTTTGATGTTCGTTGCGTCGAACATAACGGTGCTGGTATTATCGGGGCTTGATTTTGCCCAAGTGCTACGTGCATATACCCATTTTTCTATGTTGGGGATTATTGCTGAAATGCGCTGGCAGCGATCATGCATTTCGAACCACTCGTCCATATATGTGCGCTCGAAGGCGCGGCCTCGCTCCGTCCGCTTCGCATTCTCTGGTTGCCGGGGGTGGGCTTTGATATCATCTTGCAAATGAACCTACGCTAAATGGAATTTTATCGCAGCTATCATTCCAGTCCGCCATGATATTAAGTATGGCGTGGAAGGTCTTGACGTGCCCACACACGCGCAATAGCCTGATCCGGGACGGCTACCTCTATTTCATGGTGCGCCTATCTTACTTGACGCGCCAGCATTCTCATTGATTTTTGAAGTTGTTATATGGTAAATACTCTTTACAGCACCAGATGCGCTCGCTGAAGTCAACTCAGTGATCAACTTGTTAAACGTCATTCTTCTTCTCACCGTTCGAGTACGTGCCTCGTCCTAGCTCGGATCTCCTGCTTATGAATGTGTTAAAAGCCTACCCTGATGCTCGTCATGGCCTTTCTTGTGCGTCTCCTAGATATATATTCTGCCAGTCCTAAGGATCCCGTAGATGTGGTGTTTGACGACGACGACGACATGCCGCATGATCCTCAGCCTGCGACATTCTGGTTCTCCAGATCTATCTGATGACCAGGATGAAGACACTTATGGCGGCCAATCAGCTACGCACCTCGAGCTTGCGTGGGTTGGCGAGCAGTCATTGTCGACAGCAGACCCAGCACCCACGCCGCGTTCTACGTTTAACGACTCGAGGACATCATATACATGACAAGGACGCTCATAATTATTGCTAAATTTAAAATGTAGTAAAACTAATATCATCTACCTGTATCTTTGTAAGTACATAGGACGAAGAAGGTTGGCGTAGTGACTTCGATTTACCGCCCCGCAATCCGAAGTCGATCAATGCGGGCCGTTTACTGTTAGAACTTAGCGCTGGTGCAAACTTCAGAGTGGAAAAGCTGAACGAAAGTTTGCATTAGATCGAAGTTGGGGCAACAGAGTTGAAAAACGTAAAACCGAAAATGGTTACTACTCTCGACCTGGGAGTCGAACCCAGCTTTCGCGCGAACGAACCACAATGTATGACAGGCGCGTGTACTCAACCGATATACTAGTCGGGACGTGGCAACTCGTTGAATTGATGCCATATAATGCATAATGGGCACCGACACTTTCCCTCAATGGAATCTAGACCAATCTGCTCGACGCGATAACATGTATGATGTTGTAGGATATTTCTTTAGGCGGCTTCCCAGTCATGGGTTCGACGTGGTACATCGCTCGGTAACCCACCGGAGAGCTGTTTAGCCGCGAGTAAACAGTTTACGGGTTTCGCGGGTACAAATGGGTCCGCTTGGCTGATACTCACGGCATTGTCGCGGAAATGCAGCACTACGGATATAGTAGGCACAGAGCGTCCCATACTAGATCTAGTCCTTGCTTCGTAGAATCTGATTGACACAGTGGATCGCATAGTTGGGATTGCAACATTTGCTACAATTTCTGCAAGAAACATGTTCTCAACCAAGGTTTCGTTCTTAGCGATCATCGATCATCGGCCAGAACGAGCTAGAATGATACGAAATGACGAAATTTGGCGTCAGTTGACCGAGCTACAAATAAGCGTGCCGATTGCTGGCCAATCACAGCGCCCGATTTTGTACTTGAACTCCAGAAACGTGATCTGGGGTAAATAGTTATATAAGAGCTGCTTCATTTCATATTCGCCTCTCCACCTCTTTCACAACGACCATGCCTTCCAAACAAGTTTTCAGCGCGGGTGCCGAATCTGCCCACTACACTACGTCCAATGGCGCACCCGTATCTGAACCATATGCGGCTCAGCGTCTAGGCGTGCAGGGCCCGCTCTTGTTGCAGGATTTCCACCTCATCGACAGCCTGGCTCACTTTGACATTGAGTCCCTTTTCCTCCGAACCGATCTCAAAGGTCCTAATCTGCTCTGTTACAGGGGAGAGAATTCCTGAGCGTGTGGTACCCACAACTTCTTCCGATGCCGATTCCCTCGTTCTCACCAAGTCCTCCAGGTCCACGCAAAGGGTGCAGGAGCCCATGGATACTTCCAGGTCACGGAGGATCTCAGCGATCTCACCGACAATGCTCTTTTGAGCAGCAAGGGAAAGAAAGTCAAGGCCACGGTCCGCTTCTCCACCGTTGGCGGTGAATCGGGTTCTGCGGATACAGCCCGGGATCCCCGAGGCTTTGCAATTAAGCTGAGGACGGAAGAGGTGAGCCGCCTTGGATCTCAAGTCAACGATGAATGTGCATTGGGCAAGAGTTGCATGGATAGGGGATGCCGAGATGACGATTACGTCCTCTACCTTCCATATCGTCCATCTCGCTTCTAGCTTCTGAGATCCAGATTCTGACCTTTCTGCCACAAACAGGGCAACCTCGACTGGGTGTTCAACAATACACCGGTGTTCTTCATCCGCGACCCTGCCAAATTCCCCCACTTCATTCACACCCAGAAGCGCGATCCCCAGACTCACCTTAAGGATGCCGATGCGTTCTGGGTATGTTACTGCTTTCAAGAAGGAGATCATTAGCATCTTAATATCGTGTTGCGTCCAGGATTACCTCGGTCAGAATCCCGAATCGATCCACCAGATCATGATCCTCTTCAGCGACCGTGGTACCCCCGATGGCTACCACCGTATGCACGGCTACTCTGGTCACACCTTCAAATGGTTCAAAAAAGACGGGTCCTTCGTATACACCCAGGTGCATCTGCGAGTTGAAGGCGGCTTCAAAACTCTCAGCAACGCGGAGGCAGGGAAACTCGCCGGCGAAAACCCCGAATATGGCATCGAGAGTCTGTTCGAGGCCATCGAATCGGGCAACTACCCGACGTGGAATGTCTTTGTGCAGACCATGACGCCGTCCCAGGCGGAGCAGTTCCGTTACAACGTCCTCGATCTCACCAAGGTCTGGCCGCATGGCGAGTTCCCTTTGCGCCCCGTCGGCAAGCTCGTCCTCGACGAGAACCCGCAGAACTACTTCGCCGAGATCGAGCAGGCCGCCTTTTCGCCATCTCACCTCACCCCGTACATTGAGGCTAGCGCGGACCCTGTCCTCCAGTCGCGTCTCTTCTCGTACCCCGACACCCATCGTCACCGTCTTGGTACCAACTACCAGCAGCTGCCCGTCAACGCCCCGATCGTCCCCGTCGCCAACTTCCAGCGCGACGGCCCTGGCACTTTCGTCTCGCAGGGAGCACGCCCGAACTATCAGAGCTCGATCGCCCCCCTCAAGTACATCGGCGCACCAGGCACGCTCGAGGGCGGTGCCCGCGACTTCGAACGCGAGGCCAAGCACGAAACGTTCGTCGGCGCGGCGTTCCGCGATCTCAGCTTTGTCACCGAGCGTACGTCGCCGTTCTTCCGGCCAAAATATCCAATTCTGATCTTAGTCATCACCCACAGTCGACTTTGAGCAGCCGCGGGCTTTGTGGAGCAAGGTGTGGAACGACGCGCAGAGGGAGGCGTACGTGCAGAATGTCGCCGGCCACTTCAAGAACGTCAAGAGCCCCGAGGTCAAGGCCCGCCAGCGTATGTTGTCTCCCCTTCCATTCTTATGTCGTATGCTAATTCGACACCCTGTAGTGTCTGTGTGGGCCGCCGTCGACCAATCGTTGTCCGATCGCATCGCAAAAGCCGTTGGCGCGCCAACGGTGCAGCCGCTCAAAGTCAAGCCGGCGAGTGAGGCCGTCAAGTTCCGTGCGAACCTGGGTGTGTACACTTCTTCCAAGGCTTGAGGGACAGCGAAGGTAGATAAGCCAGTTGATACGACGAAGCACCTGCATGTATGGGAAAAACCAAAGTTGTAACACGAATCGATCTCTACTCCGACAAAAGGAAGATGATCATGCGGAGGAAAGAGAAAAAAGCAGACCAAATTCAAGGAATCGGATGTCCTCCAGCGCTCGCCAGAGGGACTGGACAGTCGATCATGCATTTGCACAATCACATCCGCGAAGCCGGTTTCCGCTCTCGAGTCTGCTGTGGGATCACGAAACGGAAGTTCGGGCGCGCGAGCAACTGCCAGTCTCACCACAAGAATGAAATGCATCTTGTAGGAAAGCATGCTATTGATACAGGATCATACGACGGCAGCGAAATGGAGCCAATATTGAAGGAAAGCCAACTGGAGGAGATTCTATCCCAATTGGCGCGCGCGTCCTCTCATCATCACGGAAACCAATCCACAAAAAATACACTCCCTCCGTGATCGCAACTGCTGCCACGTCTGAATGGTCCGATCCATCCTACATGTCGGGGAGCTCCCGCTCGCACATAAATTTGAGTTGAAAGCTTCAGCCTTCCATAACTTCCCGTCATCTTGCCACAAGCTCCTCCGCAGCCGCGCGCACAAGAAACTGCCATAGCTAATTATGTTGTTTGCATGAAGAAAATGAAAAAAAGAACTGGTGCGGATCCACTTTGACCCACTTTGGAATATTCTTGGATCACAACTGAAACGCTGTCGAGTGGTGCTGAAGCGACAGAGCTACCAGATATCTAGGTTTGCCAAGAACGAATTACAGACCGTTGGTTGGGGGAAACGGAACCACAGTCCAAGGAACTGAACGTTAAGACACAACGGTAATATATTACAGAAAGAAAACGAAAATCAACCATGCCGCCGATACTGTGCACCGACCATGGCATGGTCTCGCTCGTACGGCTCGAGGGTGACCTGCTCGAGGGCCTTAAAGCGGCCCTCTTTTAATTTTTGTAGCTCGGCAGCAAAGACGACATCTGGGGGTGCGGTCGAGTCGATGCAGCTTGCTTTTATTGAGATGATGACATGCCCGAGGTCCTTGAGGAAGCTCTCGGCGTTGCGGATGACGATGCGGGCTTGGTCGGGCTGCGCAACGTCGGCGAAGATGACATCGACGGTTGAGATGAGCATGCGGTATTTGTTCGGTAGCCGGGCGTCTTCGACGATTGCTGGAAAGGAAATGAGGGCAAGTTAAAATCAAGACAAGCATGAAGGCGTACGGATGACATTTGTCCGCTTCTTTGCCATGTTGATCAGGTCGCGACCTGACCGCGGAGAGAATTCAACGGCGTAAACAACGCCTTCCTGAAAGAAAATGAGTACGGGTATTGTATCACGCCAGAAAAAACGCACAGGGCCAACGATATCGGCGACATGGCTCACACTCGTTCCGCTCGCAGCGCCGAGGTACAGCACCTTTTTGCCAGGCTGGATGAAAATGTTGTCGAGGCCGTTCAGGACACCCGCTGCGATCTTTGACCGGAAAGGATTCCAGACGCGGTACTCGGTCTTTGTGCCCTCGACGCCGCCCTCAATGGAGATGCGCTTTTCGCCGTACACAGACTCGCCTGGGACGAGGTTCTTTGTTACAAGGAGATGTTCCTTGCCTTTTGCAATGAACACGCCTGGGTGTTTGTGAGGCTCGAGGACGACGTTCGACCCGCCCCGACCTCCGCCTCGGCCCCCTCGCGCGCCCCGGCCTCCTCTGTCCCCGCCTCGACCGCCGCCGCGTCCTCCTCGTGATGTTACACCGCCGCCGCGCACACCTCCGCCTATTCCGCATGAGAACAGGCAAACGAGCAAGGAACAAATTATGCGCACCCCGTCCCCCACCCCTAAATCCACCGCGGTCGCCGCCGCGCCCTCCTCTGAACCCGCCCCGGTCACCGCCTCGTCCGCCGCCTCGCCCACCGCGAAATCCACCACGTCCTCCAGAGTCTCCTGCAACGACAGTCAATAGTGCGACGACCAATGTAATATTTTGGCCAACCAAATGCCATTTCAGTGCGGCGGGGGAATGTGAGCGACGACCAAACGACGGCGGCGAAAGTCAAGAAATTTTTGCAAAGTCGATGGCGTGCAAGTTCAATACGCGTACACATGGCTCGGCAATTGCGGCTTTACCTGCACACATCGATACCCAGTGTGCTGCGCTCGTTGCGGCGCTTACAGCTTGACGGCCATGTCTCAGTCACCCATGATATCCATTCCCAAGAAGACCACCGATGAAGTCGATTGGACCACCCCAATCCGCAATCTCATCGCGCAATCCTATGGCGAGAACCCAGACAACTACGCCGCAGAGTGTGCGTCGCTCCAGCGGTGTAGGCAGGACGCTGTACGGGGTGCAGGCAGCGATATGACCGCCAGAGATCTGCTCTACAAATACTTTGGCCAGCTCGAGCTGCTTGAGCTGCGTTTCTCCGAAATTCGCGTCACGTTTCCCTGGCACGACGCGTTCACCCACAAGCTCACCACCCAAACGTCCATCGCCTATGAGAAGGCCTCGGTTCTCTTCCAGATCGCCTCAACACACTCGGCCATTGCGGCCTCCCACAACCGCTCCTCGCCAGAAGGCCTCAAGCGCTCGTTCTACTACTTCCGCACCTGCGCGGGCATGCTCACGTACATCAACGAGAACTTCCTCCATGCGCCGTCCAAGGATCTGAGCAAGGAGGTCGTCAAGTTTCTAGTCAATCTTATCCTCGCGCAGGCAACAGAAGTATTCTGGGAAAAGTGTGTCGAGGAGAAGAAGCCGAGTGGGCTCACCTCCAAGATGGCCTCGCAGGCGGCGTCCATGTACACAACACTGTGTGAAGAAGTCAAAGAGTTTATGGGCCAGAATATACTTGACAGGCACTGGGTCACTCTCATTCAGGTATAACCATAAACTCGGCAATGGCGACAACTGATTTCGCCCTTAGATCAAGTCCAAATACTTGACCTCGCAAGCGCAGTACTACCGCTCTATTGCCGACACAGACGCCGGGACCTACGGCGACGCCCTGGCCCGGCTAACCTTGGCCGAGTCGTTAGCTAAAGAGGCTTCACGTCTGTGTGCTACCTTCACGCCCACCTTCACTCCAGCCACCTCCACCGCGCCATCCTCCTCCACCCTACCCGCAGACGCCGCCACCTCCATGGCCGCCCTCACCAAGTCGCACCTCGCGCTCGTCACCGACCGCCGCGCCGCCGCCAACCGCGAAAACGACCTCATCTACAACGCGATCCTCCCCTCCGTCGACACGCTCCCCCCGATTGAGACCAAGACGACGCTCACGATCGCGACCCCGATCCCCATCCAAGAGGTTTACGGCGCGCCCGACGTGCAAAAGACCATCGGCGCAGACTTCTTCGGGCGGCTCGTCCCGCTCAGCGTGCACGAGAGCGCGTCGGTGTACTCGGAGGAGAAGGCGAAGCTAGTGCGCGGGGAGGTCGAGCGCGCGGACACGGCGGAGGGCGAAGCGAAGAGCTTTCTAGACGGGCTGCACGTCGTGCAGGGGCTCGAGCGCTTCCGCGGGATGCTGCAGGATGGCGGTGGCGACGGGAATGTGCCCGCGGAGGTGTCGAGGTGGGCAGCGGACATTGCGTCGATCGAGGGGCGCGAGAGCATCGCGCTGTTGTTTGCGCAGCTTGAGAAGCTCAAGGGCGCATTGCGGGCTGAACTTGATCCGGGCGGGGGAATTGCGAGGGAGCTCGATGCGGAGAGTAGAGATTGCGAGATGATGCGCGTGCGGTATGAGCACTTGTGGACACAGGCGCCTAGTGCGGGGCTGAGTAAGGCGCTGAGGCAGGATCTGAAGGCGCATGTGGTTGCGATGGAGGAGGCTGCAAGGAGCGACGGGCAGGTGCAGGCCCTTTGGGAGGGTGTGAGACCGGACGTTGAGTTGCTTGTTACGGGCAGGATTGAGGGTTTCTTCAAGAATCAAGAAGATGGAGGAAGCTTGTTGGATCTCGGGGAGGAGTCAGACAGGGCGGAGAGAGAAGAGAAGGAGAAGATTGCTGGTCTCGTTCGTGAGATTGAAGAGCGACTTGCGACTCTCAAGAAGATTGAGAAGGAGCGAAACGAGGTTCTGAAAGATCTGAAGGAAAAGGTTAGTTTATTTTTTCACTCCTGCACAGTTGTTTAAAATCAACGTTAGATTCAAACTGACGATGTTTCGCACTTGCTTCTTTTGAACCGGCGGAACACTGGGGTCGAGCCGACACTTTTTGCTGCTGAATTAGAAAAATTCCGGCCGTATCAGCAACGGCTCGCGGCCACCATACACCACCAGGAGGTGGCTCTTCAGGATGTTGCGGCTCGCTGGAAGATGCTCAAGGATGCGACGGACTTTAGGAGCCCGGCACGCAAGTGGGACGAAAAAGAAAAGAAACGGAAGGAGGGCGTGCGGAGGTTTGGACGGGCGCGGGAGGGGTACGAGGAAGTTCGCGACGGTTTAGCGTCAGTGTGTCCATCTTGATCTTGGTCCGCATATCTCACTTGGCGCACAGCAAGGGCCTGACATTTTATACGGAACTCACGGAGCTAACGACGAAGCTGCGACGCAACGTCAAGGCATTCGTGGCTGGCCGCATTGAAGAGCGGGAGCGCCTCGTTGCCAAGCTTGAGAGCGAGAAGCGGTTCACACCGTCGGGTCCTCCTCCTCTCGCAGCGAAGCCTGGGCAGTCTGGTTTGGAGTCTGGGTTCGGTGGAATGAGCTTGGCAAACTCACCGGCGCCACCTCAATGGCAGTCGCCGGCGTCTCAAACCCCTCAACAGCCGTTCCCGCCTCCACCGCCGGCGCGTGCGCAGTATTCCTCGCCGGCCCCGCAACCGTATCCTTCTGCCCCTCCTCCGCCATCTCAACCCCAATACGCCTCGCCGCCACCGCCTGCCCCTCAGCAATACTATCCGCAACAACAGCCCCAACCTCCATCCCGACAACAGTCCTTCCCTCCCCCTCCGCCCCAGCCAACATACTCCCAGCCCCCGCATTCTTACGGGTCCTCACCACCCGCCGCGCCCGCCCACGATCCGTACGCCAATCTCGGGATGTTTACGCCAACGTATTCCTCACCTCCGACGTCGGGCGTTTCCTCGCCCCCGCCACCACCCCCTCCATCGCAGGGCTCGTACGCGCCTTCGTACTCATCGCATCCTCAGCTGCCGCCGCCGCCGCCCCCGCAGGGACAGGGGCAGGGGCAATACGGCGGCGGATACCAGTACCAGCAACCGCAGCAGCAGCCTCCGCCTCAGCAGGGATTCGGCGGGGCGCTCCCGCCGCCACCGCCTCCGGTGTCTTATCAGTATGGTGGCGCACCCCCGCCAGCTGCCCAGTACCAGCAGCAAGGACAGTATCGAGGATATTCGCAAGGATGAGAATTGCGCGTTGTACAGCGTTGTATGTTGCACGATAAATTATAAACTTTGTAAGTACGACAAGCAGCGGTTTCGCGCTGTCGACTTTTTCGAAGGTCGTGATGGATCTTCGCTTGAGATTCCAGTTGGGGTGCGAACTGCGATTTTCCAACGGCACTAGACTGGAGGTTCTGAATGGAGTGTCGAAGCAATTTACGTGAATTCACGTGTAGGCGTCAGATCGTGCTTGGCCTGGACTACCAGTCGCAAAAATGGTGAGCCCTTGCGATCTGGTGGTAGAACATCGTCCCTCATCTTGTTCCAGAGTTCAATAGGTGACTTTTCTCCCGAACTCTCGACGAGGATCTTTCTCCTTCTTTCGTATAAATCTTTGCTCTGCGTGGAGGCTGTTTGCGCGCAGTGGAAAGCTATCCTCACAGAGGATCCCGAGCTCAGTGTGCAGATGTTCAAAAAACTCAGCAAAGTGTATGCGGAGCCAGGTGCGGGGAGCTGCATTGGAGGCTTTTTCGTCGATTCACATCGGCGCGGTTGATGCTAGGCTGTTGCGGCCCTTCTTTCGGATCGGATGCCAGAACAACACGGAGCAAGGCTGGACCCAAGGATGAGCCAATCAGGGTAAGATTCATGATTTACTTGCATATTTCTGTGTGCGATGGCCTGCTACAGCTTCATCCTGCGCTGAATGAAGCATCGTACATCATCGGCCAAGATTTCGAGAATACAACAGGCTAAAGGACGACTGCGACTGGCCCCAACTCTGCAAGCTCACGATCGCTAACGATTTTATCTCCATTCCCGTGGTGACGAAGGCTACAGTCTTTCTTCGTCATCCGGGCTTGAAAATCACAGTGAAAAATGCCAAGGGTATTAGGTTGAGGGATTTTTTTGTCGAAATGGAAAAGCAGTTGGGTGCCATATTTCCTCATGGCTGTCTTTGCTGATCATATTCCAAGTTCAAACTTCCGACACATGCTTGGGGACCACATGTGAGTTATCATCTCCCGAATGAATAGTTTGATATGCTCACTGCCATCGAAGTTACTACGAAGGGTTTGCGGATGTGCGTAGATACGGACTCGGGCTCTTTGGGGAGATTTGGCTGGGCTCTTGAAAGCTCTGTTTCTTGTTATATCCACGCTTGTTTGTTTTCTTGGTGATTTTCTCTTGCAGCATCATATATAGCCGTAGCGTCGAACTTCATTTTTTTTTTGGTGTGAGCTTGGTTCGTCGTGAGCACAACAAAACAAAGCTCGGAGACAGTGTGCACGTTTTACCACTGCCCACTCTCGACACCCATACTTTTTAACCTTCACTCCCTCGCCTTACGCTATACCTCCCCCGGATGACTCTACTTCGTTTGATTTCCCCTATTTATTCGCCACCCGGGGCACCGCGTCTTAGTAGTTACTAGTGTACTTATTGCAGGATAGAAATGCAGAATCAAAAAAAAAAACGGTGTGCACGTGATGGAACAAATATTAGGGCGCAATCATTTCACCCCGATTTTTCTCGTCTCTAAAAAATCAAGGCAGACAAAAGGAAAAGCTTGGACCTGGATGCACAGACATTCTCTGCAATGAAAAAGCAGCCAAAAAAGGGCCCAACCGGGAATTGAACCCGGGACCACACACATTGTATTACGTAAGCGTAATGGGGAATCCCGAAGCGTGTATCATACGTCTAGACCATTGGGCCATGAAGGACAGGGTCCCAAAGCACTATCTATGCAGGGGATATTGGACGCGTAGATCTTATACCTGTCATTGCTTGCCAAATCCAAGTCGATCATTCTCAATTTGGCAGTTGCGAGATCATACTAGTATGATACTACTGCAAGTAGATCTTCTCTGTCCATCCATCTCCGCCATTCATTGCATCTCTAATGGAATGACTGGCAGGATACAAAGAAGCCTTTGCACTATTCGACAAGCGCGGCACCGGCGCAGTCCCGCGAGAGACGCTGGGAGACCTGCTGCGCGCGCTGGGGCAGAACCCGACGCAAGTTACAGGTGTAAATCGTAATTCGGGATCCCAACATGGCCTAACAATTATAACTCGCATGGAAAAAAGGCATAAATATTGAGACCCGTAGGTCTACCACTTCGGAAATATGAAAGCATGTCATCCTTGTGCATGTCTGCATTCCCGCTCGCTCCTTCCATTGGTGACGCGCAATCCTCAAGCCGAACCCATCCAACTCTTTTCGCTAGCTGACTGGTCGAGGCAACACATCCGCAACGTTTTCGAAGCACCGAGCAACGAGCTCTCACTCTGCGCCATCGACGACACATTCGCGCCCACCTCACGGCGAGTCTGAACGGGAGACCTCTTGACTTTGAAGGACGCAGCGTCGAATGGAGTCGCGCCGACGGCACCCCAGACGACTCGGGAAATCAGATGGGTGCTGGATTGCACGCGACCGCTAGACTTCCGCCCAAAGAACGGTCTGCTCGTCGGCGAATACCACATCCGCGGAATATGGAGAAGCGTCACGCCTGGCTCTGATTCGGTGTCCGAATTCGAGAGGCACAAAAGGTTATTGTGAGGTTCGTACATGTACAGGTTTCCCCCGCTTGTAGCGACTCCTCTTGTGTTTCAGGATTCGCCGGTGTGGATAGTAGGCGTCTTGTGAAGCTTGACATCGTCGCGTCTGATACAGGTAGACAGCAGGCGCCGGGTCTCGTAGCCGTTCATTGAGTCCCAGGTTTCTTGAATCTACTCTTTTGAATCTACTACTATACTTATGACACCCCACGAGATAGATAAGCACTACTTACCTGACGTCGTTGAACGGAACGAGTTCATACGTTCAAGCGTCTGTCTCGAGACTACTGGCGTCGGGAACCAGGAATGCTTTTGAAATTGCGCGTGTCTGTCTGAGCCTTTTCAAAAGGCCTAATCGAGACTTTGGCGCTGAATCAAGTGCCGAAGTGCAGATTTATTACTCAATCGAAGTGGTCCGCGGCTTCTCACTCTTGTCTTGATACCTAACGCCTTTGCTTCAAATTCCTTCTCCCCTCGACTGTATCCGTGCAATTAATGCATGGCAGCTGAAGCATTGTCGATTTTCCATGGGGTGGTCTACCGTGACCATGTTGACCGTCGTTCCGATTGTGACTTGATTCGTCTGCTGCTGGAGCAAAACGGTGGCAAGAAAGCGAAAGGATTCGGAGATGTTACTCGAATTATCGTGGACCCTCAGCATTTCGCGACAGTAAGTTATGCACTGGAGAGATGCACCGCTGTAGTCACTGTACGTCTTTCCCTTCTTTGAAATATGCCACTCATTTCCCCCAGCCGGAGTGGGTATACAGCTCCGTTAAATGTGGCTTCAAGAGACCGTGAGTTATATGCCTTGTCCAGAGGTCGGAGCCTTACTGATTATACGTCAGATCGCAGGACTACTCTGCCGATCCCGCGCTCTTTTTTTCGTCTACCGTCATTTCGGCTTTTGGAGTGCGTCCCGTGGTCCCTACAAATTCTTCTCAGCTCACTTCGAACACACCCTCACTGCTTAGCTATCGGCCATTCGCGCTGATTTTCTTCGCAATACCGTAACGAAGTATGGCGGGCAATGGCTCCCGACACTGACTGACGACGTCACTCACCTCATTGTTGATCGTACCACACACGATTACGACCCCACTGGATTCGGGCCCATCCTCCTCTCTTTTGACTGGGTTCTCCATTCTCTCGCACAAAAAAACCTTCTGCCGATCGCACCATATGAATTCAACCCGAAACCAGGCAGGGAGATGGTATCGCCTGCTCGACGATTTTGCGAAGCGCTGTTCTTTCCCCACCAGTTAAAGGATGAAATCTCGATTCCTTTTGGTGGATCTATTCCATCTCTTCCTTTCGAGATTCTCGGCAAGATCTTTGTAGAATTTCGTGATGATGCTCTTTGCGTCTCCTTACCTTCGCTGACCGTCCTTGTGATGGTAGTCTCACAGGTTTGCAGCCGTTGGCGTGACGTCGCACACGCCACCGGTGAACTCTGGACACACTTTCGTCTTCATTTCCACTCCACGCAGCATTACCGCCGTCTACAGAACCTTGTCGAGCAATGGGTGGCTCGGAGTCATCCTCGAGCTCTGTCATTCACCATCCGCAGCTGCTATCCTCGTGCCAAAAATCCTATAGTAGGCCTTCTGCTTTCGCATGCTTCCCGCATCCGCGAGCTCTTCCTTGAACTTCCCGCGGCGCACTTTATTCCGTTTCTTGAAGCACCGGCTGGGTCTTTCCCCTTGCTACAGAACTTGAGCATGTTCATCTTCTCGATATCGGACAGCACATACGATCCCAAATCGGGCCGTTCGCGGTTTGAATATTTTGACGATGACTTCTGGGACAGCACATACGATCCCGAATCGGGCCTTACGCGGGTTGAATGTCTCGACGAAGAGATCTTTGCAAGGGACAGTGTTCCAGCTGACGGAGCACTTTGGGAGACCTTGGATGCACCCATGAGTTCCCTATGCGACGCACCGCGACTACGAAACCTGAAAATGAACGGCTCTTGCTATTTAACCCTCGACCCCCGCATTTTCCCTCTGGCCTGGGGAAACTTGACAGAACTTTACTTTGGGTTTGTGGCGCTCGACGTCTTCCACACCTTGCATGTCCTTTCGCAGTGCACTCGCCTCGAGCGCCTGAATTTCACAACAGAGGGCAAGGGCGCTCCGGAAGATTTCATGCCGCACACGCGTCTGTCACACCTCACTGCTCTCGAGTGGTTGGGGCTCCACTGCTACGACGGTGTCTCTGTCTTCGATCGGCTTATCCTCCCCCACCTGACAGCGCTCACACTGCGCGACGGCTCCTCGGAGAGTCTCTTCCGCCTGCACGCCAATTCGTCCTTCGCACTTCGTGAGCTCACCCTCTCAGGCGTCGAAACCACATTTCCGTGTCTCTCCGCTTTCCTGCGCGAGATGCCGTCCCTCGTCTCATTTTCCTCATGCTTAACGGCCACGGACGAGTTTCTCGTCTTCCTCACATACGATGAGCAGCGTAATCCGATTCTGCCAAACCTTGAAGAGTTGGATATCTCCTGCGATGTGCAATGCTTCTCCGCGTCTGCGGTGCTGCGTATGCTGGAGTCGCGCTGGGGGACGACACCGCTTGCGCGGGGTAGGATATACACCTATACACCGGAAGCGCGCGCGCCTGCACCCGCAAATGTACGAGATAGGCTCATAGAACTGGTAGAGAAAGGGCTTAAGTTGGATTACAAATGCGGCTGAGTGAGCCGAGTATTTTGGTCCTCTTGTGTATATCTTGTGTGTATATCTTGTAAAATCACTTCATTGTGCTGCAAACCCAATCCAGGCTCGAGGGTTGCGTCCGTGGGGGCATAAGTGCAAGCAATAAGAGAGTATGAAGAGTTGCGAGCGGGGTGGGCAGCATATCACCGTTGTCACGCCTGGTGCACACTTCTTGTTGTACTCACGAATAATGTACGACTTGAATGGATCCGAGCGAGATAGAATTGCTTAGACAAGACGGCCCCGATACGAATAGCATCGACCAAAAAACTTGGGAGGTGTACGAAGCAGACGCGACAGATGTACGTATTAGAGCGTCGTATGCATAGCGAAAAACGGGAGGCCAATAATGCTCAAGGCGGCGCGGGAGCCTCGTGAAAGCAGGGACGTAGACGAGGTCGGCAATGATACAGGCAGTCGCGTTAGTCTAAGGGAGCGCGAAGCGACGTCCGAGAATCAGCGTCCGGTGTCAACAGAGCAATCGCAAGACCCGCCAGTGTGTACCGCGCCGCCTCGCCACGAAGCTCAGGATCGGAGCTAGGCATTCTCCAACAGATATCCGGGGGAGCTTTCTCCGGAAGAGTACGCAGGCACAAGGAAGAAGGAAGAAGAAACTGTGGTGCGAAAAAAAAAGAAAGCCAAGGCTCGCGAGTAGCCCAGCCATTCCATAACGCGTCGTTTCTCGTGTCTCTGGGTCACATAGATGTTCCGATGTCTTCCTCGCCGCGTACTAGCAGAACTTGTCCATGCGTCGCTCGTTCCTTTCGGCTAGGATTTCGTTTCGGGGGAATTGAATAGGCGTAAACGGTCTATCGGACGTGTCCTATGCGTGTGTGTGGCCGGTACAAATGAAATAAGGTAGCATCGCGAGCGCGAGAGCAAAATAAAGAGGATATTTGAGACGAGGATGGTGGACGCGAGCAAAGTGAGAAAGTGACATAGTCACGCTTCCGTCACATCCTTGCTTGCTTCAAGCTTGCCCTACGAACAGTAACGATAAATCTGAGCCGTACCTCGCGACCTATCTCGGAACAACGATTCAGTAACATCCTCAACTCACCATGGTCAGTCCCTCTGCCCTCGACGAGACTGGAACTAACGCTACGACAGAGCGACAACGCAGGTAGATCTTCTCTCTCCATCCATTGTATCTCTCATTCAATGGGATACCTGGGGCAGAATACAAAGAAGCCTTTGCACTATTCGACAAGCGCGGCACCGGCGCAGTCCCGCGAGAGACGCTGGGAGACCTGCTGCGCGCGCTGGGGCAGAACCCGACGCAAGGGGAGGTCGCTGAGATTGTCGCTGCGGCGCCGCGTGATGGTGCGTGTGGTCCAGCTGGTGGATATGGCAAGGAGCTGACGAGATCCTTATTGTGGTGTTGGTGGTATAGTCGACTACAAGACCTTCCTCGCGATCCTGAATCGTCCA